ATTTCCAAGTCTTTCGGCAGAGTCAACAACTACATTATCAACCCGTCTCAAGAGCTCGTCGCCATCGGCTTCACCAATGTCTTTGGGCCATTCCTTGGAGGTTACCCAGCCACCGGCTCCTTCTCTCGCACAGCCATCAAGGCTAAGGCCGGAGTACGGACGCCCCTCGCTGGTATCTTCACCGCTATCATCGTCCTCCTCGCCCTGTATGCCCTGACATCGGTTTTCTTCTTCATTCCGAGTGCTGCCTTGTCCGCCATCATCATTCATGCTGTCGGCGATCTCATCACCCCTCCTCGGGAGCTTTACAAGTTTTGGATTACCTCCCCGATTGAGGTTGTTATCTTCTTTGCGGGCGTGCTTGTGACCATCTTCACGACGATTGAGAACGGCATCTATGTCACTATGGGTGCTTCGGCCGGCCTGCTTCTGGTTCGTATTCTATTCATCACTGACGGCAAGTTCCTCGGGAAAGTGGATATCGCCACGGTCGCGCGAGATGATGTTAGAGGAGGCTCTGGTGTCGCCCGGGGGCCGGCCGAAGGTGAAGGCACACATTCTGCCTTCATCCCGCTCGGAAGGTCCGACCTCTCAAACCCAGCCCTTGACCTTAAGACTCCGTACCCCGGTGTTTTCATCTATCGTTTTAGTGAGGGTCTCAACTATCTCAACGCGTCACGCCACGTCGACTTCTTGACCATTGAGATCTTCAAGCACACCCGGAAGACGGAGCTGAACAAGTTTAGCAAGCTCGGTGTAAGTTACTAGTCTCTTATACAGAACAATGATCGACGGTGCTAACATCAAACAACAGGACCGCCCTTGGAATGATCCTGGCCCACGTCGCGGCGCAGACCCTAACCATGACGAAATCGCTGGCCGCCCAACACTCCGCGCCCTTATTCTGGACTTCGCTGCCGTGGACTTCCTTGATGTGACGGCCGCTCAGGCTCTCATTGATCTCAAGAATCAGTTCAACCGTTACGCATCGCCCGACCGCGTCGAATGGCACTTTGCCGGCGTTGCCAACAAGTGGACTAAGCGGGCTCTTGTGGCGTCGGGCTTCGGAGCCGACACCATCCACTCGGACTTTGGCAAGGGCGACTCGGGCCCGCTCCTTGCTGTTGGAGACTCAGCAAACAACACGGCCGAAGTTGTCAACGCCATCGAGAAGCCCAAGGATATCGAGGGAGGTGAAATCACTCCCGTGGCAGCCACCAAGACCAACAGCGGCGGCGCGAGGTTGGTGCCTATCTATGGCATCAACAGGCCTTTCTTCCACGTCGACATTGAGACAGCACTCAAGAGCGCGATTCACAATCTGGACGGCAGAAGCAAATATGCCGAGTCCAGCTGAGAGCCGGGCTTGTACTAAAGACTGCTGTTTTGATGTCGGAATCTTTTGTCGCGCTGCGTTGTTGTTTTCTGTTTGCCAAATGTTATATATCCCCTGATACCACTGTCTCGACTATGATTCGATAGATCGAGTAATAATACCAAGCGTTTTATGCTGCAGTTCTTATTCGAGACTTGTTTGATGATGAGTTTGCTCATGTGCAACTTAAGAAAACGCGTTTATTGAATCTTGGCTCCATCACAGCAATAAAGTACCAGAGCCGTCTTCGGACCAAAGTCACCTGTGCCCCTCGCCTCTCCACTTCTACCTCAAAGTCACTGCACTCACAGCCGTCACCATGAACAAACAACCGAATCCATCCCCGTTTTGGTCAAGTGGGTGACTGCCGAATCAGGCAATTCCGAGACTAGAGAGCCAATCAAAATCTTGCCGACTTGATCCCAACAACCGGCGGGCCGGCCCGCGCCAAGACAATGGTGGCCTTTTGGGCGCATGGGGACAACACTACGTACCTCTTTGGCATAAGCTCATGGGTTATTTCAAGTTACCTAGTCGAAACTGTCTTGAGGTGCCGAAGAAAACACCTCACCCTTGGTGTCGAATCCTTAAAATGGAACCGTTGGGCATCGAATTTTGGAAGAATATGTTGCCGACCCCGACTAAGTACCAAATCTGGAGACAAGGGAAAGAAAAGAAGAAAAAAAACCGTTGCAGTTTATCTGGGTCAACCGACCCGCAGAATATGAAGTCCTTTTATGAAGAGTCATTTCTGATTATCCTGGGGCAACAAAATTTGCAAGGCGGAAGAGACCTGCCCCCACGCCCAACCATCTATGCGCGTCGCGGATGGGGGGCTTGCTTCATGAGGTAGTTTTCCAAGTCCGATTCGCATCGAGAAGCTTAGTTGGTGCAACCCTCCTCCGGCCCCGCACCTAGCCAAACGGCAGGCTTAGTAGAAGAAAATAACAATGCCTACTGCACCCTTCCAAGGATGTGTAATGAACGAAGGGAGGAAGGAATAAAGAACTGAGGGAGTGCTGGAGTGCTGGAGGAAAAAAGGTTGATTTTATTGATTACAACAGAGGAAACCATGGTGGGAACTAGGTACATGTCTCCCTTGAAACTGGAAACGAACAAAAGCAATTGATGGTGGTGCCTTTGCAATATGGCCTAGTGGTGAGATGTTAATCAAGGCTGCAACATGTTGAGTTCTGATCTCGCCCAAATTCAAATTATACCTACATTCCATTTCGGTGTCTAACAGAGAATGCGCAGGTGGGTGGTGGTCCTATGGGAGAGGATTATTGCTATTGCTCACATGAGAACAACCATTCAAATCCTTCGCCGGTGATACTTGCTCGTTCTTGGAGTCGTTGTGATGCCCGCTCATTGTTGCTTGTTGTCGTAGAAGGGGGGCATCATACTGTTAGGTAGTCTAGTCAGATTAGCTCTGCTCAGCTCTGCTTCTTTTTCTTCTTCTATTTCGGACCCCTCCGGCTTACGACTCTATAAATATCTGTTGGCTGCCCTTATAGTTCCCGAGAGGGGGGAGTAATATTTGCTCCATCAGGTGTAAGTATTCCTTGAAATTCGTTTCCTTTCAAGGGTAACCTAACATCCACTCATATTGCACAATGTCTTCATGCACTGATGTATCCATTGGTTGTATCCTTGATACCAGACACTTATAATCCTGTAGCCTGTAGGGCACGCCTGTGATCAGCACCCGGGCCGTCGTGTCATGGTAGTGTTTGTGAAAGGCGGTTAGATTCCACGTGCTCAGTAATGTCCACCAACTCGCAACTAACCTTCAATGTCGTCTGGAAACGTTGTGTCTCGATTGTGAATCCAGTTTACCGGCATATTTGCGCCGCTGAGACCTAGAGAATAGTTGCATGCATGCATGATATGTCTTCCCGCCAATGCTCGCATCAGTATGACCCTATAATCATGTCGTAATTTGTAAAGCAATGATGTGAATGTAGTCTTTCCAACCATGTGTCTGCGAGTCCAACTCAGAGATAAAACGTCGCATACCCGCTGACCGCAGCCGACACAAACCCGCCCACCCAGCGTACGTGGTTAATGCTTGCCCAGAACGAGATCAGTTCCTTCATACTCGCCGTGTCGGCCCATGTTTTGGACTTGGCGGAAGCGGTTTGCTGCCTCACGCCTGGCATAAAGCTCTGCTGCGGCGGCAAGTTGAAGCCCTCGTCGGCCAGAAGAGACTGGATCTTCCATTTGCAGGCGCCGTTGACGCCTGGCTCAAGGTACAGAAACGTCATCGGCATGATGAACCACACTGACACCACCGAGACGAGGTACAGGTTCCGTCGGGTTGAGTCAATGCTGCTGCTTTGCCAGGCGAGATAACCATTGGAAAGCACACTAGCCATAACGGCCGGCAGTACCCAGCTCGGTCCCTTTTGGTAAATGTCGAACCATAGTTTACCCATGACTTTTGGCGGTGCCAGTTTGGCCAAGGAAGTCATCGTCATGGAATACTGCGCTGTCACGGCTGTGGGGATCAGTCAGTCGAAGGCGGGGTCCATTTGATGCAGATGATGGTCCAGTGCGTGACTTGAGAGGAATGGCTCACCACCATAGACCGTCGGCGCAAAGATACCCGCCCATTGCGCCACTGCGATCAGTCCCTGAGCCCGAGTGGTGACCATGGCGACAAGCTCCCGGGCTAAAATAAGTACGACAGACCGTTGTATTAAAATACGTAGGTAGTACCGTTAACACCCAATAAAATCCCGAGGCAAAGATTAAAAGACTACTAGGAAGTAGGGAAAATGGCTATGCAAAAGGAATACCAAGTAAGGCAAACGGCAAAAACACCAACCCAGCGAGAGCACGGTAGGTAAATATATTCCCGTCGGGGGAAAGCTAGAGACGTACCTAACATGACCTTACGCAAGAAGGTCGGGTGGGAGGGACATGCCGCGCGCGCGCTATCTGCATTAGGTTTGGTAATGCAGCATTGCGGCCTAAAAAACTTCCGACTTTGGCCAGTAATGTGAGAAGGTTTTGACCGTTTTGTCGCTATTCGGACACTAAATCCGTTGTGTCGGTACCGAGTCGTAGTGCCTGCCGCGTCTGACTATCATTTTACTGCAGCCAAAAAAATGAGCGGGATGCGACCCCCATGGATTCCAGTGGTCTTCTCAGACACAGGCTCTCGGAAACCAAAAGGGAGACACGCGTTTGAGGTGGCTGGGGCAAGCTAGGGAAGAGCGAAAAAAAAGGGCCCCGGGGAAGCAACTACCCGTGGGGGAAGGATTCCACTGCATTGTCTACATTCCACGCGGAAGAGGGATTCGGATATGATCTATAATGTCGGAGCCGAAATTTGTTTAAAAACACTGTGCTCATAAAGCAATACACCGAGAAGTAGCATGTGAAATTCATGTTTCAAATACTCAATCATACGATGAATTATGAATGAAAGAGGTAAGAAAAAACAATAGTTGGGTATAATGAATCAACATGAGTTCTTTCTCTATAACTGGAAGCATTTCAGAAAGGCAAGATCAAAAAGACTCCTCATTGAGGGTGCCTCACTTACGGTGAAGAATAAAAACTGAACTTTGGTTTGCTTCTAAATCACATGCCCCAAACAGACCCAAGCAAAAAGAATTGCCCACACCAGGGCTCGAACCTGGGACCTGTCGCGAACACATTTTATGAAGATGTGAGGCGAACGTCATACCACTAGACCATACGGGCGGAGTTGTGAGTGATGAGCTCCTGATGGTTTGTCGGCTCGGTAATGGCTGTCTCCATCGCGAGATCCATTCTGGTGGAGAGGATGGACAGTTTGGTTTGTGAGGTTTAACCGAGGTTGGTGGGATAAGAATGGGTTGATTGTGGAGTCTTCCAAGTTCACTTGTCGACGACTACTCTGTTCCACCGATTAAATGAGATGAAGAGCACTTTTTTTTAAAAAAAAAAAAAAAAAAAGGATTGGCGATAAAGGTGTGTTGTTTGTTTAGTTCTCGCGAGTGCTCGAGTGAAGAGAAGATACTAGGGACTTGAAATAATCGCGCCTGGGTGACGATAATTATGACCAGTACAACTCAACTGAGCTGGGGAATCTTGGTTCTTTTACTATCATTGAACTTCATTTGCCCAAGTCACCTAAGTAACAACCAGGTATGTGAAACCACAGCTTAGCGTGTTCTTTTTCGAACAATGCTATTTCCATCTCATAGCGCGTCGAAACCGACCCGGTAGTCTGGTTCAATCAATCTCGCTTGACTTTTGAGGCTAGGCAGGCAGCAGTCACCCAATGGGATGAATGACCAACTGATCTCAAACATACCTCCTATCCTAGAGCTGCCTGGCATTATCTTATCTGACATTCTCTCCCCGCTCTCTCCAGAGCTGGATCTTCTACCACCACTTCTCGTCTTCCCCTTCGTTCACAAAAGGATATTTAGGCACAGTATCGCCTACCCATTATCAACATGGCATCTCAAAACCTTCCTCCATCAAATGGTCAGTGGTGCAAAGCAATCTGACGTGTCATACACGGAGCCTTCAACACTTCCGGCCAAGTCGCCATTGTCTACGCCAAGCGCGACAACCACTAAAAGCTGCCTGGTGGCGTCATCGACCCAAACGAGGAGCACGAAGCCGCCGTCATCCGCGATATGCAGGAGGAGACGGGGGCCCTGATCAAGCTGCGCACGCATCTGGGATGTGTTGCGACCACGGAGGAGTACCGCAACGATCTGCACCAAATGTCGTACTGTTACGTCGCAGATATCGTGAATGCGTCGGGAGATCCGAGCCTGACCGAGGATGAGATCGCCGACGGGCTTGGCCACCTGTGGCTTTCTGTCGAGGAAGCAAAGAAGCGAATGGCTGAAGTGGAATCGACCTCGGAACTAGGCAGGTACATCAAAAAGAGATATCTATCTGTTGGCGGAGGCAAGCAAAGCCATACAGGAGTAGAGAGTGGATGGCAGAGCTAGTGGATGATGTGAAGAAGCCATTTTGCTGCTTCTCCAATGAGGGTGTTCCCGTTTTCAGCTTCGTGGTCCCACTGGCAGGGCAGAGTTAGATTTACAGAGTGTGCCCTTATGTCTGCAAATATGATGGCCTGCCAGGTGCCGACTTGGTTGCAACATAAAGGATACTGATCGGTTCAGGCTGAATGCAGCAATAGAGGCAGTGAACCCTGGGGGCCGTTTTCCTCGGTCAACATGCAAGCGGGCGGAGTCTTGGAGCCAAGTTCACGACGTTGAGACGAATCGTCACTCAACTTCATACTCATATCCTCGTTTCGTTTTCCCCCCTTTCCGCTAGAATAAAATATCGTGCTGTATTTATACCTAGCACGCAAGAAGTGAGCTCAAAAAACTGACATTTATGACCGACCCAATGACCATCATCGGAGCGACTGGTTCAGTTGCCGGGATTATCAACACTTTGTCAAGGTCGATATCCCTCCTCGGAGAGCTTCGCATCCAGTGGAAGGACGCTAATTTCATGCTTGCGAACCTGACTAGCCAGTTGATAGCTCTGAGAGCCGGCTTGACCAAGGTCAAGGAATGGACAGAGGCGGTCGGTCAGGGGGATGCGCATCATCAGCTGATCATGGATGTTGATTCCGTTGTGACGTGCTGCCATGCCCTAGTTGCCAGGCTTGATACGCAGCTTCGCGGCCTGCAGAAGAAGGAGAGCTTGGCCGGCAACAGAAGCAGCAGTCAGTTGAGCGCGCAGGGGAAGATGAAGTTCATCCTGGCTGGCCGCAGCATGGATGACATCCAGAAAATGATTGAACGTCAGACGAGTACCCTGACTTTGCTTCTTACTGCGTGCAATAGGTTAGTACTTATTTGTTTCTGACCCCTGTCTGCTCCTTCTCCTTGTTAATTATGTTTCTTATTTGGTATTTTCCTCTGCCGCCTTTATTTGAAGCTGACGTGGAACTTGGCTCTTTCAGCAAATCAATCTCAGAGCAACATACTCTGCTCGAAAATTCAAGCACACGGAGCGCCATCGAAAGGGTGGAGAAAGAGTCTGCATCTCTCGTGGTGCATCGCGATACGAGCTCTTTCCGAACCGCCACAAGCGACGGTTTATCAAGACTGTCGATGATATTCGGCTTCGATCCTCAGCTGCTCAGCTCCAAGGTGTACGACCGCGCCTGGCGCAACCGTCTTAAGCTCTCACTTAATCGCCCCTCCCTCAAACAAGCAGCCAATGAAGCCGAGGAAGAGTATCCGGCTTTTGGGGAACAACCAGGCATTGGTGTCACTTCTGAGATCATTGTCACGAGCAGTGAAACTACGTCCAACTCGTCCCTAGCTCCTATCGCCCTTCAGGGCGCTAAGCCTCACCCCAGAAGCAGCATTGCAAGTACAAAGACTTCGGAGAATGAAGTCAAAGTCGTCCTTCTCGGTAAGTCAGAATTCGTGCCACTGACAATACCCAGTCAAAATCCAGCTGCACAGCGTCGCTTACACGACACAGGACCGTCCAACTCATCAAAAACAACAATCTACAAACAACTCCCTCTCATCTTTAAAAACAATATGAGCCTCAATCGTAGGGAGAGGGAGGATTGGAAACCCTCAATTTTCGAGTGCTTGCGTAGCTACTGGAATCTCATCTGGGAGCAACTCCAGGATGACGCCAGGTACTATGAGGTGTGCCGTGACCTGATGTGGACGAGGGATCCTTCAATTTTGGTACCTACCTATTCAATCATCGACGGAGGATGTTGCTCAATATTATTGCTGACAGCTTGTACAGAAAGACTTGGACACTTCTTTGTCCGAGTCGTCGTCGTCGGGGTCGGGCAACCACCTCCAAGAAAGACTACCAGTGTCCGAAGTCTTCTTCAACGTACTCAACGAGTCATGGCGAGATGACAGGTGGCGTGAAGCAGCTTTCAATTGCAAGTCTACGACCTTTTCTGGCCATTAGTATGTTCAATAACTTCCAACCCTCCCACCCTTCCATTTTGCATTGCACATGTTCACCGTTAATATAGCTACATGGCGAACCTCGCTCGGCTATTCTCACCTGATTACGTCCCAACCAACGAAGACATCCTGCGGGCCCGTGAAATAACGATCGGAATTCACGACGGGATCCAATACGAAGTGAAATCTCGGTTAGCACGACACATGCGGTACACATTCTTCGACGTGGGCGGCCGTAGGCCGGAGCGCAGAAAATGGCGATACAGGACAGACGGCATCGACGTGGTTCTCTTCCAGGCTGCGCTCGGGGCATATGATGAGCCTGTTGCTGAGGCTGAGGATGGGATCTTTCAGGTAATTAAAACGAAAAAAGACAAAAAACTGGAAAGACAAGAGAACAAGTTACTGACCTTCGATGAACGTGATTTTCCAGATGACCGAAGCTCTCCGACTCTGGGAGACAGTCTGCACCTCTGCTCTATGGGCCGACGCGATTCTGTTTCTCAACTTCACCAAAGTCGACATCTTCGAACAGAAAATCTTGTCCGGCTCTGAACCTCTCAAAACATATTTCCCGACCTATGATGGTGACGTAGGGGATGTGAATGCCGCACTGACGTTCTTGAAGAGCCAGTTCATGGCACTCACCAAATCGCAACGGGTGGTACATACTCATTTCTTGGATGCCACAGACACGAAGCAGGTGAGAGATATGATAAACGACATCAAGATGATCGTCGATGAGGGCAATGCGCGGCGAACAGGTTTTATGCATACCTTAGGTTGGAGATTCATTACTTCAATAAGGGCTGATAAATATTCGAAAGGGGTGGAAAATTCAACTAGGTAGGAAGTTAATAAATGGTGTAGAGATTAAACTTTTGTAGCCCGGTTTAACACTTGTAGGACGGATCATATAGGAGTACTGGAGAGGATGCCTTTTATGTGATATCTATAGAGCGGGCCCCTTGTTCCTTGATGACGCTATGAATTCCTTCTTTATTTTGCTAGCCGTGCTTGTTCTTGGGAGCATTTTGATGTCCTTATCGCCTCTTATGGCCAGAAATAATGTTGGATCGATCTACGATGCTCCGCGGCAAAGGTATCTGTGATCATCCTCAATGAGGCAGATACGTACTTGGTCAGAAGTTTCGGCAAGACGAACGACGATAATAACGAGGTTGGAGGACAAACCCATATGTACAGTTGTATGAAGGACTTTGTTGTCCAGCGTGGTTTTAAGCATTGTGCTATAATAAGAGGCGGGTGAAGGGGGGGGGGGAGAGAATGTAACGCTGGCTGGTCGGTGTGCAGGTCGCAGGGCATCTCCATGGTTAATTTGTGCAAATGTTGTGGCACCCAGCGACTGGGGCGGAGCCCCCTCACTCACCATCACACAACATCCTGCCAAGGTTAGCGGGACAGCGTGATTGGCAGAGGAAATAGTACGGCGTTAGGAGCTCGTAATGAAGCAAAGCAAGATATGAAGGGTCCAATATGCCGGTGGAATCTTAACCCGAGCAATGTTTGAGAGTGGTCAATGATGTGATGGACAGGTATCCGTATCTTGATGCATTGTTTGGCCCCGCAACAATGGCGTGAGCGATGGGCGGGGTTCAACCTCAATTGCATGCACAAACGTCCAAAAAGATAATGGATTGGATTCAAACATGCCATATCTCGATTTCTTGACGGCTCTGAATGGAGACATCGGAACGACGCGCGCATTCTTGAGCCGCATCGGCATTGGACGCTCCAACGCAGAGTGATGATGCCACAAGCGCGCCGCCA